ACACAGTCTATCCAGAACCTGGCTCCTGACCCCAGGCTCTGTAGCACTGAGGAGAAAGTGTGGGAACTGGCCAACTGCCAGCATCTCCCAGGCCCCAGGTTGTGGGGGCAGGCGTGTGCTATGACCTCTGATGTGTGGCCTCATGCTGCCCCATCCACACTGCTGGGGGCAGGAGTGTGAATTGCAGAGCTTGCCAGACTGCCAGTACTCCCCAGCAAGGGCACAAGCTGCCATATTAACAAGAGGACCATGTCAAGTGGACAGAAAGCCTTTATTTTAAGACCTGAGCTGGGTTTTGGGCTCTACCATCATATCCTGTGACATTGGCAAATAATGATACCATGCTGTTTTTCCTTCTGCAGCTACCAAGTGAGAAAAATAATTCCTAGTTCACAGGGTGGTTGTAAGTTCATGGAAAAGCGAGAGGGCTCAGCCCAGTAGGTAGGAAAGCACCCTGTCTCCTTCAGGTGGGCGTGTGCATGGCAGTAGGCTGAAGGGACAGAGTGGCACAATGCCATGGCTCCCCCAGTGGTGGGACTTGTGGAAGGCATCTCCGGGGCTGGACTGGAAGGCTTGGATGAGGGGCACACACAACAGGTGGCTGTGGCAGTCGACCAGGTTCACGTGCACCACCCCCTCAGTGCTGTGACTTGTGTTCTGGGCAGGCCTGGGCACGCTGGCTCTGAGCATGTGACCAAGCTGGAGGCCGTGAGCATGCTTTTACCCACCACTGTAGTGTATACTTACTGGTGTTTGGTTTTTATTGAGATTAATTCAATTGCCATAAAATTCACTTCTTTAAAGGTACTGTTCTGTGCCTGGTGGTCCGTGAGGTCCAAAAGGTTGGCGACCGCTGCTTTAGTGTATTCACAGGGCTCTATGTCCATCGCAGATAAGGATGGTTTTGCTTAGAACTTGAAAGGCTTTTTGTGTTTTTGTTTTGTTTTTAATATATTTTTTACTGATTTCAGAGAGGAAGGGAGAGGGAGAGAGAGATAGAAGCATCAGTGATGAGAGAGAATCATTGATTGGCTGCCTCCTGCACCCACCCAACACCAGGGCATGACCCTGACCGGGAATCAAACTGTGTCCACTGGTTTATAGGTCGACGCTCAACCCCCGAGCCACACTGGCCGGGCTGAAAGCTTTCTTGGATCAATAAGACAGTCTTGGCAGGAGTCACTCAAGATAAAACTTTTTCTGACCTGTGAATTTATTCTTTAGAATTTTAATGTATTTTATTAAAAGTAAGTATTTAAAAACTTTAAAAAGTCATTAGCATTTTAGAGGCTCAGTACTTTAATGGTCAGTGTAACTATTAAAATACACTCATGCACAATCAGTGGCTGCTTTCCTGCTGCCATGCTAAGGTTCCTTGCATTTCTGCCCTCTCGCAGGTTGTGGGTTGGCTACCAGTATGTCGTCACCAGCCGGAACAGCTCCTTAGAAGGCCACTGGGAGGTAGCATTCAAAGGTAGGCCTTTCTGGGCCCTGGCCGGGTAGTTCAGTTGGTTAGAGTGTTGTCCCGAAATGCCAAGGTTGCGGGTCTGGTCCTCAATCAAGACATAAGTATCAATCAGTGAATGCATAAATAAGTAGAATAATTTGATGTTTCTCTTTTTCTCTCTAAAAATCAATAAATTTAAATAAAAAGGAAAAGGGGTAACCCTCTCCTGAAGAGTTGTTGAGTATGAAATTGAGGTATACCATCCTGAACAGGATATATTGGTAGGGTCTCCTCTCCTTCCCCCACCCCCTATCATCCATGGTGCCTAGCCTGTTAGGGGTACCTGATACAGGGGACATGAAGAGGAATGGGCTCAGGGAGGGCTCTGGTGACCAGCAGGCCCTCTTCCAGGCTGGGGTCTTTTCTGGAACACATGGTTGCTTCTTACTTGGCCAGATTTTTAGACTCACCATCCTCCTTTTACAGGTAAGGACTTTAATTAGGGCATAAAAATGAGCATACAAAGTGTGCAGCTGGCATGAGTCAGGGAGGGAAGTTCAAGCTTTCTAGGACAGAGAATTCGGAAATCCAAAACTTGAAGGAAAGCTGTCAGGCAGATAGAATTAAAATAGAGGAGTTTGCTGGAGCCAGAGACAGAGAGATCCTCTCTGACTCCTCTCATACTTCACCCCCTTTCAAACGTGTCCAAAATCTCATCACTTGTTGCCAGATTGCAGCCACCAGATCTGCCATTAGTCACCTAAATCGCTGCTGCCACCGCTGCCAGCCTGGTCTCCTTGCTCCCACCCTCACCCAGCCCAGTCTCCTCACATGGTAGTGCGAGAGTCCTCTACGCCTCCGCCCCAGCTGTTTATGACTCTCCTCCCACAAAGACACTGTCCTCACTGAGGCCTGGAGTGCCCTTTCCCTCTGCCATCCCCTCCCCCACTCTCCTGGCCCTCCTCTTCAGCCACCTTCTCACCTTCTCTTCCCTTGGGTCACCCTTGTTCCCATTGAAGCCCTCCCTGGGCTACTGCTTCCTGGCTCAGCCTTATGTCAGTGTGGGGCAGGAGAAGGCAGTGTGGCCAGGCTGGCCCTGGCTAGTGTCTGGGACCGGCTTGGGGATTAAATGGAGCCTGCTGTGCCAGGCTGCCTACATGGCACAAACAGGGATTTACGGTGAACACCTGCTTCCCTGGCAAGTCTGGAATTGCGGTGGACCGGAGGTCAGCACCCAGGCTTTTCTTAGCAGAAATGTATTGCAGGGCTGCTGGCAGTGGCACCTTCCTGCTTGAAGGATGAGGAAGCCTGGCCTGGATTATTCCAGACTCCACCTGAACTGTCCCTCCCTTGCTGCTGGTGTATCTTGTTGCATCACTGTAATAAATCTTAGCCATCACTATGGCTAGATGCAGGGTCCCTTGAGTCCCAGCAAAACAGTGAGCCTGTGGGTGGCGAGAGACCCACTGAACCCAAACAGTCAGAAATGTCAGTGTAGCGCTCTTCCTCCATTCTCTGTTTTGAGGCTTGCCTTCACCTCTGTGCTGCAGCTTTCTTTTTGCTATAGCAGCCATGACCTTCGACATGTGTACTTCACTTACTCTGTTCTTCAGAGTCTGTCTACACTGTTTACTTCCCCCCCTCAAATGTCAGCTCCAAAAGGCAAGTTGTTGTTGCACAGTGTCACCTGAGTGCCTGTTTCAGGAGTAGGGCTTGCTAATGTTTGTTATATCTGAGGGAGAATGATCAGGAGACTGTGCTAGATTCATGGGACTTAGAAAAGAGGCTTAGAGGTTCATGGCCCCCTCCCCCAATACCCCTGCACCCCCACCCTGGGGTGCAGTAGTAGCGTGGTTTTTAAATGCCTGATTTCCAATTTGAAATGTAATAGCTGAGTGGATTACAGACAGTCTCTCTGGAGCTGGGAGTGGGTCCCAGGGAGCCTTCCAGTTCACCAGGCCAACTGGTGCTCCCTAGTGGGTGTAGGGGCCACGTTTCTGCCTAAATTATGCATTCATGGCAGAAGCAATGGGCTCCCTCTTGAGTCCTCTATTTATCAGTTCAAACTCTATTGTAAAGGAGAACTTTCCCCTCCCTTATTTATTTATTTATTTATTTATTTTTAGACATGTTTTATTGATTTTTGACAGAGAGGAAGGGAAAGGGGTAGAGAGTTAGAAACATCGATGAAAGAGAAACATCGATCAGCTGCCTCCTGCACACCTCCCACCGGGGATGTGCCCGCAACCAAGGCACATGCCCCTGACCGGAACCGAACCCGGGACCCCTCAGTCCGCAGGCCGACGCTCTATCCACTGAGCCAAACCGGTGCTGGCCCCCTATTTATTTATTTGTTCAATTTATCCATATGAACTTACACATTTTCATTATTGTGTTATAACCCATTGCTTCACTCTTCATGTTGTTGTTCTGCCTTTAAACATCCCCAACTAAGTTTGGTCCTCCTCTGGCTCTCAGCCCAGTAGGATTTGTTCATCCGCTTGCCTCCCTGGCCTACGGAGCATGGCCCCCATCGCCCAGTGCTGAAACCTGCTCTCCGTGGAGCTAAGGGAGGTTGTGAATTAATGCCGTAACTGCAGCACAGCTCCATTTGGTGGTCCATGAGCTCTTTGATTGATGGTCCACTTTAGGGCAGGCCTCGGTCCCTGTGAAGACTGCACATGGTTGGGATGCTGACATTGTTGACATTATGTTGTAATGGCCAGCCCTCCCTTTTGTCTCCCCTATAGGTTCCTCAGAGGTTTTCCTGCCCCCAGACCCCATCTTCGCCTCGGCCATGTCTGAAAGTGACAATGTGTTCTGCGCCCAGCTACAATGCTTCCACTTCCCCACTCTCCGCAACCACGACCTACACAGCTGGCATGCGGAGAACTGCTATGAGAAGTCTTCGTTTCTCTGTAAAAGAAGTAAGCCACCTTGAACTTGACTCCTTTAGTGAGCTGGAAGGAATGGTGCTTCTTGTGAGAATGTGGCTTTCTAATTTCTGGACCTTGATTGATGTCAGCTTTGAGTGGACTTACCATTTTATAGTAGGCAGCAGGCAGCAGGCGTGCTGTGCCTGGCTCACACCTTACTCTGAAGGTGCACAGGTGCCTCGGGGGTGAGGGCTAGAGCCTAGCCTGGGACCCAGGGCTGGTGTGAGCCTGACTGGCCTGCTACTTAGTTCTGTGACCTAGACAGCAGTGGCCATTTCTGGCCCTCGTTTTTCTTTTCCCAGGATAGAGGTGATAAACCCTTCCCTCCCCACCTGGATGTTAGTAAACAAATGAGAATGGCGACAGGACTTGCCAGATACTGTGGTGTCTAGGTGCCTCTGACTCCTTTGCTCACCTCCCCCTCCTCTCCTGGGGTCTTTGTGAGACCCCTCACTCTGCTTCTCTGTCCTGTCTGGACCGCTTCCCCTCTTCAGCTGGTCCCTATGCCAGTTCTCTCACCCACATTCCACATCAAGGTCTTTTCCAGCTTTGGGGGCTAGCAGTGTGGTTGTGCTGACCGAAGGGAGGTCTCCCTTGCCTCACCCAGTCCCCTCTGCCATGAGTAGAGGATGGAATCGTGCCCATATGCAACCTGGGAGGCAAGGGCAGGTCATCATTCAGTTTCCGTCTGCTTAGAGATTTTTCCTGTTACTGATTTCTAGTTTGATTCCATTATGGTCAGAGAATAACTTCTATGTGATAAGTTATTTAAATTTGTTGAGATGTATTTTATGCCTCCAGGTTACTGTCTGTCTTGGTGAATGTTCCATGGATGCTTCATAAAAATGTGGCTTCTGCTGTTGAGTGGGGAGTGAAAGCGTGTGTGTGTGTGTGTGTGTATTAGATTCTATTGATTGACTGTGGTGTTCAAATATTCTATATCTTTGCCGATGTTCTTTTTTTTCACTATTTTTTTTAATTTTTTTATTTTTATTAAATCTTTATTGTTCAGATTATTACATTTGTTCCTCTCCCCCGGCCCCCCATAACTCCCCTCCTCCCAGTTCCTGCCCAACCATCCGCCCTCACTCCCCACCCACTGTCCTCATCCATAGGTGCATGATTTTTGTGCAGTCTCTTCCTGCATCTCCCACACCCCTTTCCCCGCCAAGAATAGTCAGTCCATTCCCTTTCTATGTCCCTGATTCTATTATAATCACCTG